CGGCGCCCAGAGCGGGTAAGTGTGTGCTGGGATGGGGCTCCTGGTTCTAGGGGTGTCGGGTCATGTAATCGGGTGGTATGGCTATAGATCAGATGAGAGTGTGTGCTGGAATGGGGCTCCGGTTTTTGGGGTGGTTGGTCACGTGATCAGGTGGTATGGCCATAGATCAGGTGAGTGTGTGCTGCATTGGGGCTCTGGGTTTTAGGGGTGCCAGGTCATGTAACCAGGTGGTATGGCTATAGATCAGATGAGCGTATGCTGGAATGGGGCTCCGGGTTCTAGGGGTGCCATGTCACGTAATCTAAACAGACCCCTCTCATTTCCCTTTTTGAAATAGAAAAAGATTTGAGGACACAGAGTCCTCTGCCCATACAGGTGGGGGAGAGCAGCAGGGATCCGAGGAGAAGCTGGAGCCACTCCTCTTCTCCCTGCTGAGCCGGGGCTGTGTTGGCCGCGTAGCGCCCCTGTTGCCAATGGCATCCTGTGCTCGCCATGGCAACATGGGTGAGGGGGTGCAGCCAGCCCAGCCCTGGCTGCGCCCCCTCTCAGCTGCGCTTGAGGCGAGTGCCTCACTCGCCCCATGGTAGCTACAGCCCTGTGGCTTTAGATCCGATGAGTGTGTGCTGGATTGGGGCTCTGGGTTCTAGGGGTGGCTGGTCATGTGATCAGGTTAGTGTGTGCTGGATGGTATGTGGGATTCCTCAACAGAGGAACTTCATCCAAAACAAGTGGGGAAAGGAAGGCACTGCCATGTCATGAAATCCAGCGCAGAAAAGCGCAATGATTTGGTTTACACATTGCCGTAGTAATGGCAAAGCAAATGCCATCAATCTGTGGTGCTTGCACTGCCACTGCCATTATTATGGACATGTGTAAATGAATTGCTTCAATGCTAAAGTGCAGGGTGCACATGGGTGGAATGTGAGTGTTGCCAATCCTGCACATGGGTGCCCATTACAGCCAACATCAGTCTTGTCTAGGTGAGAAATCCAGACACAAAACTGAAAGGGTGGGGGGATTTAAGAAGACTGTTCTTACTGTAGAGTATGTTCACTGACCTTAACTAATGGGTGAATATTTGTTTAAATACCCAATCATGTGAAAATGATTTAAAGGCTATTTCCCCTTTAGTAGATTATTTGGGGAAAGGTCTGCTTTTAATGTTCCCGGTAATATGATGAGCTGTTACAATGTTCTGTTCAGGAATGTGGAATGTTCCAGGCGTCGGTGCATTGTGTTCGATGTGATCAGTGGCTCGGTTGTGTGTGTCGTGTTATATAAAGCAGAAGATGAGCAGCTTGTATTATATAACGAGCACTACATGTGGGGGAGGGGTGGTGATTCATGCGGGAGCCAAAATGGTATTAACTGCACTGCGGTGCCCATGGTATGGAGCTGAGCGGGGCTGTCGCATCACTGCTTATGTGTGTATCCGTAAATCAGCACACAATGTCTCGCTGTGTGCCTTTCAAGGGGTTATAACAGCATGTGTGCTGTGTCCAGTTAGTACATTCTGTGCTGTCTGCATGCTAATTGTGGCTTCATTTCCTTTACAGTCACCTGTGACAATGATCAGTACCTGGAGTAAACATTTCTGCTTGTGTTGCCTTAGCCCATTGTAATGTCATTGTATTGCATTTCTGGTCTTAAATGGTGAGTTAAATATGTAGGTTTCTTCCACATCATTCAGGTGGACCTGAGCTTCTTTTAGGTTAGAGCTGTGGTGGTCAATTCCCCTGATGTAGCGGACCTCAAAGGGCCACACGATATTCAGTGTAATGTTGTTGAGACTGCTTATACATGAAAACAGGAGCTGGTGAAGACTACAGGTATGCTATTCGAGATGGCCAGGGAGTGTAGAGAAGTTGTAGGAGATGGCCCAAGACTACAGGTATGCTACTAGAGATGGTCAGAGTGTGGCTACCCTGTAGGAGATGGCCAGAGACTACAGGTATGCTACTAGAGATGGTCAGAGAGTGTGGATACCCTGTAGGAGATGGCCAGAGACTACAGGTATGCTACTACAGTGTTTCCCCGAAAATAAGACACTGTCTTACGGTATATTTTTTTTTTTTTGGCTCAAAAAAACACACTAGGTCTTATTTTTGGTGTAGGTCTTATTTTTTTTTTTTATGTACAATCCACACTTACAACAGTCTACATGTATTCATGTACAAAAATATGGTGACCAGGGGTGCCGTACCTTGCTAACCAATCTCTGGCCAGAATGAGCGAAGTGCACTTTCACGATCGATTCCTCACAGGCGGAGTGTATTTGGTATCACTCCACCTGTGAAGGGAGCCGACGCCATAGAGGAGGCATCGGCTTATGCGGCTCTGCTCCCTCCGCTGCCGCCTCGCTTCCTCTAGCGCTGGCATCGTTGGCACAACGGATTCTCTCCCGTGGCTCTTCAAGTTCCCCCTTATGCCACCACTGGCCCTCGGAATGGTCACAACTAGGTCTTCTTTTCGGGGTAGGTCTTATATTTTAGCAATTCCCAAAAATAGTACTAGATCGTATTTTGGGTATATGTCTTATTTTTTGGGAAACAGGGTAGAGATGGTCTGAGTGTGTAGACATGCTCAGAGACTGCAAATATCCTATAAGGCTGGGTTCAAACCTAGGCGTTTTTCCCGCGCTTTCGTACTCGCGGAAAAACGCTCAAACAGGGAAATGCCATTATTTTCAATGTGCATGGTTCTCATCTGGGCGGTTTTCCGCGAGTACGAACGTGCGGGAAACCGCCCTACGCCCAAAGAAGTACATGTACTTCTTTGGGGCTTTTTGGTCGGGCGGTTCTATTGGGATACAGCCAAGTATCCCTCGGAAACGCACGTTTTTCGCGCGGGTTTTTTACCACGAATCGCGGTAAAAAAAGCGCGAAAAACGTGCATATTCAATCCGCCTAGGTGTGAACCCAGCCTTAGAGTTGTTGGTGACAGGGGACATACTTCAGGAGAAAGTCATATACTGTACTGGGGACACATTACTTTAAACTGGTAAAGATCGCTGTTATTACAGAGCAAAGGAGAAACGGACTACTGTCTGCAGGGGTCCCGAGGACTGCACAAAAAGTGCTAAAGGAATTCGGTTCGCCACCAGGGGTTTGGCGCATCCTTTAGACAGCAGATGTTTGAAACATTCAACCTGTACGTGATCTTGACGTGAGCCATGCACAAGTATTCATCTTTGTACCCTGAGCAGACACCCCTTGCACTGATCATCCTTTGTAGAAGGTCTGTGTGTGGTGATCAATTCTTCTGAGTCTACTAACATCTGGTTCCCGTGGGCCACTCTTCCACTTTCTTTCCTGCTTTAGTTCTCGAGAGCAACATATATGATTTGGGTGTTTCTGTGCTGTGCTCCATGACTTCTCTTTTGTGACTCCTAAGTTGCATTATAGCAACAGCAGGCAGTTTGTCATTAGGACAGGGCTGGAGACTTTAGAATTCAGGACATTGTTCTTTTATGCATGATTCTCAGCAGATTGGACAAAACTGCCTATTGGGGGGCAATAAAAGAACGAGACATTAGATCCAGCATGCGATCCACTTTTTGTTTAACACTTTGAAATGGCAGAGCAATGTTTAATGCTAGATTAAAGACACATTAACATACTGAGTACATAGTGAACAATGCCTTTGTTTGCTATCTATGAATCCTGAAATACCATTTGTGTGTCAGGCAGATAACAACACCATTTGTATCTTTGTAGTCTGCCATAATATTTACCTATCTATGCCGAGCCTAGGTGTAATGGCCACAGATGGTGGTGCCTGATAGAGATGCACTGCAGTAAAAGTGTATGCTAAAGGCATTTAAAAAAAAAAAAAATGTAATGTACATTTCTGTAAAATATGTAAATTTCCTAATGTTTTATCCCTTTTGAACACGCTGCAAGTACATGTCTGGTGTGCCCCTACCTTCCTATTTGACATGACAACATAGTGGGGGGAGTTTTTCAAATCTGGAGCAGACCAAATCTGGAGCAGTTGCCCATAGTAACCAATCGGCTACAAGTTTGTGGATAGCGTGGAAGTGGCCTTTGGTCACTGGGCTCTGCCGAGGAGACTTTCCAAATTCTGTTCTGGTAAAAGTTAGTTGCAGAGGTCCAGTGGCATTTTCTTCATCGCTTTCCCTGTTGGGTCAGCGAGTAGGCTGGTTGAGGTGAGGATTTCCCTGCTGCTGCTCCCTCTTGTTAGAAAAAGCCATGTGGAACTTCAAACCTTAATCTGTTCCTGCTGCCTGTGACTTCGGTCACCTCTGGCCATCCGAACCTCACCTGCTAACAGCTCTTTGGGGTTTGTGAGCACCTGAGACCTATACATTGCTTTACTGCCATGCAGATTCCTCTTTGGTGTCACCGGTTGTGCCTGGCACTCACTCTCAGATGAGACTTTTACTAGAATCGTGCAAGATTTTATGGACACTTTCCCCCAAATTATCCATTTTTTTTACTGACTCTGCTACAGATTCTATATCTGATATTCCTGTGGCCTTTGTGGCTTCAAAGATACTATTCTACTGTTACTCCCAAATTAAAGGAGTCTGGTATGGCTATAATATGGTGCACACAACTCTGAAACTAGAGGATCAGCCTGTTGTCTCTACAAGTACTGTTTCTGGTCTAAGGCCTTTTTTAAAACTTCTAAGGCCACAAAGACTTTCCCTTTGCAACCACTTTTTAAGCTTTTTTTCTCTGGAGATCGGAAACATCCAGACTGTTTGCTAGTGGGGTCCTATCAGGATCCAGAAAAGGAGGGATGTCATAGCAAGGGGACGTTTAAGGACTGGCCATCTGAAACACTGTGTTGGCAGTCCTATGCACCTGGAAACCACTCTGGTGAGGGACTTGGACAGTGGTGAGTATAGTGAAAGGTGCATCACCAGCTTCTTGTACCACTATCTCTAGGTGGCTCAGATGAACCATCATTCAAAATAGGTGCTGACATTCGCTTCAGGTATTTCGTGATTCGGATCCGAAATTCAATTTGGTTCGGGTTTTGGATTCGGA